CTTACATAACCAAGAGGGTGGGATTGGGAACCTCTGGCAGGGCGGTACTGGCCACACCTCCCCGGGCAGGAGTGCCCACTGAATTGTATGAAAGCAGACACGTTTTCCGTGTTCGAGGCCGGCTCTACACGAAGGACCGAGTTGCTGATAGCGGGGGTGCCTGCTGAAGTGGGAGCCTGCCAACCCTTTGGAAAACGCAGCTGCTGCAGAGGGCTTTATAAGTAGTTAGAGTGGGTAAGACCATCTTGTAAGTGACACCTGGGTGAGTAGGGTGTCGTGCCTTCCTCTTTGGTTTTTGGTTCTCTTCCCCCCCTTCCTATTCCCCTTCTCTCGAGTGTCTGTCTTCATTGTTAACCACCTTTCATAATAAAAAATTTGCTTTATTGAGTAGCAATGGTGTCTAGTTTTTCATGTTCCAGTATACCTCAGACCTTTTCCCTAATACAACGGCACTTCAATTTCCATGTCTCCAGTTATTTTTGTCCTCTTTGTGTGGTTCAGAGCCCTGGAGCATGTCCCTTTGAGATCAGTCAGTCTTTCCTTGTGCAAACATCCGGAACACATTTTCAGTGTCACTGGGATGGTGCCTAGAGCTGTTTTGAGCAGCAGCACGCAGTGGCTGCAGCCTCCTGGACACCCATGTGCTACAACTCTGCTGCCAACCAGAGAGCAGTGCAGAGGTTTCTCCCTTGCTCAGTTTGCAAGGAAATGGCCCATGAAAAGAGAGCAGAAGAAAACACTCACTGGCCAAGAGCTGATCTTGGCTTCAAAGAACCCTCTAGGGCAGGCTGGCTGTCCGTTTGTCCCACACACTGCTCAGAGAAGGCCACAGGACAGTACCTGCTTTTGAAATGCCTCCACAGCTGGACCCTTCTAGGCCCTGTACCTACAGGGAGAACTCGATAGAGATATGTATGTACACACATAATTTTGCTTGTACTCAGTGCAGAGCCAGAAAATGATCCTTCTTGATACCTGATGGAAGAAACTAAATCTTCATCAACCCCTGACTGCCCTAAGGCTAAATTTACTCTTGAGGGGGGCAGGAGAGGAGAAAAGTTTACCTGTGCTGATGCTGCCGGGAAAGATGAGCTGGGAAAGATGAAATGGCTCAGCCATGCTCCCTGTGTCACATGGGCAAGGTGTGTGGGAACCTAAGGGTGTTGGGAGAATAGAGATTATATGTGAACAATTTCCTTTGCATTCCTGTGAGCCTTGCTTTGGCATAATTGGGTGTGGACAGTAAAAGCTAGCTAAGTATGGCTACAGGCATTGAAGTTAGAACAAAGGAGGCTCCCTGCCAAAGTTAAGGTGGAGTTTCAGGAGGGTAAATGTGTGTCCTCAGCTCATATGAACACCTGTTGTGGTCCAATTAACAGTGGACAACAAAGTATGTTTTCCTTATGTATCCAATGCTGTGTGAAGAAGAATCACATGTTTGAGCATAATACAAAGTATATAAAGTGTCTTTCTTCTAATAAAGCCGACATTTTGCCAATCATACTGGTCTATGAGCGATCTGTCCGTGCCCCTCTGCCTATATAAGGGGACATTTTATGGGTGGGTAACAGCTGGAGGAGCTTTGGTAGTGTGTGCTTTTGGTAAGGGCAATTGTTCCTCGGTGCAGGCTCCAGCTACAGTTGAGCGGTCCATCTGTTTTTGGAGACTTCCACGGGGAGAGGTTAGCTTTGTGAGCATAGAGCTTGGAACCTGTGGTGTGACCACCTAGATGACTTCTTTTTTAAAGGCAGAGTTTGTGATAAGTCAGGGATTCAAATGAGTGCTACAGTGTCACCAAACAAAATTTATTACACAATTAATGCAGCCTTAAATGACTGTTTTCCATCATGAAGGTGTCTTGTGGAATGTACAAATTTTTCTTACACCTAAATGTACAGAATCTTTTAGAGTTTTACCTTTCAGTTGCATTTCCACCTCGTTGTTTTACATGATCTTGATTCTTGAGGAAAGAATTGCAATTGTAAAATGGCAATTGGATTTATCTAGGAAATGTAGATACAAATCCTCTTTGAGTGCAGAGCCACAGATATTTTAGATATTTATAACTTACTTTAAATGACCAATAAAGTAGCAGCATTATTAGGGTGAAAAGGAGTCTTCTCTGTGGGATTCATGTTACATTCCCTTTTGGTAAAATGCCTGGATGACAAACAAGTAAGCAAATTTATACTCACGGTAGCTCATTTGGAGGTAAATATTGAGTTCATTTTGTATTTTCCACTTAATCTGAATAAAGTAAGTCAATATGATGGCTAGAGACTGCTGCCAACACTGACTGCTCTTCTCTTGATGAGGTGACTGGTAGTGACAGTTTTCATTTTTCCCCAAACCAGTGCTGTCAGTGTTTATGTATTTGTATTAATGAGAAGGGGTAGAGTGCAGTTTTGTGGTTTAGTGGAGAGAAAAACAGTGCCTGAATTCAATTGATTTAATTTTTAGTTTGATTACATTTTTTTGTCCTAAGTCTGAAAATGAAGGACATCCTTTTGGAAGTGCTCAGTATCCAATATCTGTGATCTCAGTCGCAGCCAAGTGACACCTTGGAACTTGTTTACCTTTAACTGACTAAGTGAAGATATGAGCTCTTTTGGCTTCTTTTAGAGATGGAAAAAAACCCCAAAATCAAACTCGAACCAGTTTTCTGAATCCTCTGGAAAATCTGACTTATGCAAGAAAGTGTGATTTTGAATGTGCAGATTTTCTGATATCATTCATTCAGACACTTGTTAAGTCAGACCAATAATGCTCTTTATAGTGGTTTAGCACAGCTGATTGAAATAAAATCACTTGAAATTTTGGCCTCAATTTTCAATGATGTTTTGAATATGTGAATATCCATTTATGAGAGAACAGAATGAATTTGCACAATTCCATTATGGCTTTTTGTTCAACACACACATCCTCTCCTTCTCCCTTCTCTGACCTTGAGTACTAAAATAAAACACCTGCTTTGGAAATACAGCTCAAATGTAATTGTTTCCGCTATTTTGCTTAATGTTTCTACGGGAGTTAAAAATATTCAGTTGTAATTTGCTTTATAGCATTCTTTGTAATTGTGGGACCAACAAAAAGACCACAGGAATTATTCCCACCAAAAGAAAATATGCAGAATAGCATTAGAAAGACTTTCTGGCAAAACTCATATTTTGCTTTATAGATAACTATTAAACTTACACTTTGGAATAAATTTACCTAGCAGGCTTTCAGTTCAATTACAGCAATTGTTTTTCAGCAGGATAATTTTTCAGAAAGACTAGACAAGGAAAGTAATCACTTCAGAAAATTCACAAAGATATGCAGTACTCTCATGGCTGGTTTCATCTTGAGAATGGCTTCTGATGAGAAACTTAATCTTTCAGGACAAAGAATTCAGCTGAACCATTAAATTACAAAATGACCCTCCAGAAACCAGATCAAGGTCATTCAGACCAAATCCTGTGCAAATATTATGGTCCAGTGTGTTCTTTGCAAGGATGTATTATTTATAGATTGGATTATAATGATCACCTCCAAAACCCATAGGTTTTCTTGGGCATGTTGCAGTAAGGCAAGGAAATCACAGGCAAGAAAGAATAGAAAACATGATCTGAGCAGCTAAAAAAAGACAGACAGTGTCATCCTTCTGGAGCAATTCTTGAAAGCAGACAGTCAATAGGGACAGAAAATGTGCTTTGGGGAAATTTCAGCAGAGAAAGATTAAATGTTTGTAGAGGGGCAAAACAGTCAAATTTTTTTCTGAAAGTTTTGCATGTGATCTTCCTTTTACTTAATTACCATCTAAACATGAAATTTTTCTCTTGTGCCTCTCTGATGTTTACAAACACAAGGTGCATCCCTTTTCCAGAAGGCAAAAAGGAAAATTCATGAGCCTTGGAATCAACAAGTAGCTGTTTTCTCCTAGGAGAGAGGCTTTAAAAGAGCTCAGTAAAGCTGCTGAAGGATTTGGAGTCAGATATGGCTCTGTGCAGGTGTGTGTCAGAGTGCAGTACTCTCTGACCAGGTTCTTTTAGATACCCCACACTTGGAGGGAGAAATCTGAGCCAAAATCCAAAAGCGATGGACCAAAATGGACATGAGATTATTATTATTATTTTTTATTATTATTTGTAACATACCTTAAGAACTCTCATCACGTAGATGCTTGTATTGTTTTTTCTCCCTTATGCCAAGGTTCACCAAATCTATCTTCACAAGCACAGGTGATTTGTGGCTGTCTAAGAGCCCATGTGCTCTGGAGCACATTTGAAGTTTTGCTTGATATAGCACAAATCATATATCCAGCATACAGACTGAGTTGCCATTGCAACTTAATGTAAGTTCTAGCAGCAAAAATAAGAGTAAATGTCTGGTCACCATTTTATCTAAATCTTCAGTTTTACCTTGTCTGTCTGATATTGGCCTCCTCCTTGGAGGTCATCAAGGAACAACTTTTGTGCTGATTGGAGCAGAACAACTGAGTCAACCACCTTAAGTCTGTTTGCCCTTGACTGCCCATTCACAGAAGAGGCTTTGTGGACCAAAGTCACTGCTGCCTAGTAGCTACTGGGTTCTTGTTGAGGTCCTTAAAGACTTAACAATCAACTTCAACCACAATTAAATTGCAAGAACTGTATTGGAACTCTCTTTCTCCATAGCTTCTGTGGTGCTTGATCCAAACTTTCCTTTCACAAGCCAGACAGAATCTGGCACAAGATTTTCAGATATGCTGGTGTTTCAGTATGTCAAGCTCTCTCAGTTACTGAGGGACTCAGATATTTATAGATTTATTCAGACGCCTGGCTCTGTGGGACCTAAGAGAGACCTCACTTGGCCCCTTCAAGAAGCCAGACATGGAAAGGGGAGGCCACTTCCTGAAACCTGCCATGAGTTCCATTAGCCTCAGGTTGTGGTTCTTGGATTGGAAATTGGCAATGAAGAGAGATGAAGTTTCATCACTTCATCTGTGTCCCTCAGGACTGCAGGGGTCAGGTCTGTCCATGTCATGGCTTCTTGCTGGGCTTCGGAGAGCCCAGAGGGCTAGGAGCCCTCCTCTTCTGGGCACACCGGGCTGCTCCAGGTGAGCAGCCTCTGCCCTGACCAGGAGTGGAGTGGCTGTGGCTGCTGCCTTGGGCAGAGGGACCTGCCACTGCTGCCTGCTCTGGCTCTTCCTGGGGCTGGTCCTCCTCTACAGGGATGGGTTCAGGTTGGGGGCAGCTGGGACCCTGGTGGGGGGCAGTCTCTACTGTAGCAGTTTCTTCCTCCACATTGGAGCCCGCAGAGCAGCTGACAGGAGTGCCCGTGTGGGCGCTGCTGGACATGGACCAGCTGGAACTGGAGCTGGAGCTGGAGCTGGTGCTGGCTGCTGGGCTGCTATCCTCATCCCCAACAGCCTGTGAATGCAGCAGCCTCATGGCCTCCTCATTGCACTGTTCTGCAATAGCATTGATGAGGCCATGGACCAGCAGTGCTGTGTGCTCCTCCAGGAAGATCAGCAGCCTCTGGACCAAGACCTCTGCATCTGGACCATAGATGCAGAGGTAGCGCAGGATGCAGCTCTCTGTGGCCTCTATCAACCACCACCGGCCCCAGTATATTCCCTCCAACCTCTGGCGCAGCCAGGGCCGCACGGGATCCAGGAGCTGCTGTTGTTGACGGAAAAGTCCTGCCCAGACCTCGGGCAGGAGGTCACCAACAAGTTCCAGCCTAGAAGCCCCTTGCTCATCTGGGGACAGTGTCTCCTGTGGAGAAGATGGAGGGGACACCACAGGGAGATGGGGACTGTTGATCTCCAGGTGGCCAGGAGCTCTCTCTGCCTGTCTATAGCCTTCTGGTGACTCTTCAGGTGAGGCGATGACCAGCTGTATGTAGTCCTGTTCACTCTGCTCAGAAAATCTGACAGTCTCTATCATTCTTCTGCAGAGTGGGCACGATGGATTTCTCCTTGTCCACCGCAGGATGCAGCCCAGGCAGAACTGGTGGCGACAGGGCAGAGCAGAAGCCACATCATTCCGAGTGTCCTGGCAAATAGGGCAGGTGCTGTCTGTCTCTTTGGCCATTTTTGTCCCAAGCTAGACTGGCCAGTGCTCTCCTGACGTCTGAATACAAGAAATGAGGGCTGACATGTCACAATTCATCCTTCTACGATATCACAATCCGCTGCTCAGTGATGTCATTGTCCACCCCTCAGTGATGTCTAAATGGGATGTCCACCTCTGCAGACTCACGGTGTCAGGAGAAAATGGAAATACCGTCTCCTTTTTTCAACTTCTTCATTTCTATGTTGCTCTTTCTTGGCCACCTGTTATGTGTCTGTGGTTCTGTGCCTCATCCCCGCTCCTGATGCCTTGCTAAATTTCCTGTGAGGGGCAGAGTGGTGGGAATAGTCAGCATGGACTGCCTGCAGCTGGGTGACACCTTCTCCTCTCACTGCCTTTCCTTGGGCTATGCCAGGATTTGGAGAACTTGGGTGGTCAGTGGCCAATCCTGGGTGAGAGTCCCCTAGCCCTGTAGGTTGTGCCCCTACTGGCAGGAAGAAGCAGAAAGGGATGTTTTGCTTCAGCTCATCCAGTGCCACTGGCACTCACTCACAGTGCCATGTCCCTCTCCGCTTGCCAAGTCTCCATGCTTCTGGAAGACAGTGCATTGGTGCTCCTCAAAAGCACGGGCGATGGAGCCTGGCCCCACACCTGCAGGAAGGAGCTGGAGTTGCTGTCCCTCCAGAGTAGGGTAGGAGGGCTGGTGGCACCCTGCTCATGACTCTGGAGAGCCCAGGATGCACCACCACGTGGGCTGGGCTGTCCCACCATCCCTTTTTGCCTCTGGCTACTGTCATCATGGAGAGGTATTAGCCCAAGCACTTATTTTTCCATTTAGAAGAGCATCATCTGTTAGTTTCAGGGCTGGCTGGTGCAAGGCCAAGGTTTCTGTGTGGGGTGGCCACGTGGCTCTGCCCATTAAAATCTCACCAGGTGAGACAGCCCGTGTTCGCTATTCACAGGGCTTCTCTTCTGCCTCACTGGGAAAGGTCATCACATCCAGGCGTTTCAGGCCAGTCCCTGCACAGGATTTTTCCTGTTTAGTTTTAAAATCAGGGTTTGTCCTCTCTGCAGTTCTCCTGGATTTGGGGTGATGGGCACAAGGACAGTTGGTGCCTGTTTTTAGGGCTGTGCCTTGCTTGCCCAGCAAAACTGCTCCTCTTGGTGCTATCTAGCAGTAGAGGAGCTCTAAACCCAGTAAAGAGTTCTCTCTGCCATTTGTTTTTGCCAGCACAGTAACAAGGATGGACCTCCATCCTGGGAACACTCCTGAAATGACAGGCTCCAAAGGACAGTATCTGGGCCCTTGAACAGAATAAATCTGCAAATACACAAATTGTCCCCTCAGCCCTGGGTGTACAGGTCTACTTGTCTTCTCCTCCTGCCTCACATCACTTTAGTGAGAAGCTGTACTCACCACCTGAAGCCTGAAGAATCTGAGTGGCACCTGACAGCTTCATTGCTGACCAAATGAAAGCCCCTTCCTGATCATTCAAGCTACAGAACTGTGGGAATACATAAAAGTATGTATGAATTACACAAATCCTAATTTGTGTGGGGTTTTTAAAAAGAAAATAAATCAAATGTACTGTTCTTTAACTTTCCTCTTCCAGTCAAAAAACATAAAGAAAATATCTTTAGATAACATGTTGATGGTGTAGTCACTAACTCAGTGTCTTCATTAAAGCCTTGTACTCTTATCCCATTCCAAAATAAACTCGAGAATAGACAGATGAGAGAAAAATAGGTACATAAGGAAAATTTTGGGCAAATCCTTCAAAAAATTTGAATCCCTCTCTTGTCATTAAGATGTAATCCTCCTCTCTGTGCTGGTAGGGACCGTTACGTTCCAAAGTCCACTCCACTGCAACGTGCAGGGAGCTGTAAATCCCTGCAGCCATCTGCAATCTTGGGAAAGTAAATGATCACAGCAACATTAATCAATGATGATTAATGCTTGATAGCATGGCAAATATGTGTGGGTGTGCACAACAGTACCCAGCTGTAACCAGAAGAATTTTGATAGTCAAGCTGGTGGTTGTTTTGAGAGTATGATGACTTTTTTTCCCTGTGAAAAAAACACTTCTGTTGCTGTTGAGTGAAATTGCTAAAGACATATGAGTCAGGGACATAAAGCAAGATTAAAGAAACCCAGATCCTGTGATAAAAGACTTTCAAGGAAGTTGATTATAGCAAAACTATGCTTCTGGAGTCTAAATGAGTATAATTTCTGCCTGATCAAATTCCGTAACCGGTCATATAAACTGCTCAAGTTGCTCCTCTTCCCTCTGGAATTAAAATCTTTTACAACCATTTGTGGTGCAATTTTCTCCATGTTCTGTGTAATACCACAGCAGTTTTATTTGGGGCTGGAATCAATGCAAGTTTAAATTCTCACATTTACTTTCCTTTATTTAAAGAAAAAAAAAATTAAAAAAAATCAAACAAACTAACTAACAAAAAAAAAAAAAAGAAAGAAAAAAAGGCTTCTGACTAATTATTCAGGAACTACAAACCCAAACTCATATACTTCAGGATGTATTCTGGCATACTGAGGACAAATGCTTCTATAATTCCTGTGTAAGTCTTAGCATAATTAGTTAAGCAATTTTTTGTATTTGTTTGTAAGGCAAACATACCATTTCCTTTTGATTACAGATGGACTTGAAGTACTATCTTAAACTAATATTTTATTTTCCAGTACTGTAGCATGACCTATGATTGTTTTAATTTCTCTAGTTTTGGTGATTTCTTAGAGAACTCATTCAGTGTATTTGAAGGCTACTTGATCAAGACATAAATAAATATTGCTTTCCTTAACACTGAATCTTACAATGTTGTTGATATTCCTCCAAGTTGAGAAAAGAATATAGTGCCTTTGGCTGACATTTATTCACACTAATGCACCAGTGTACCTTGTAGGTGGGAAAGGCATATTTGAGCCACCTCATAGGCTCAATGGCAATGCCAGTCAGGCTAGGATGCTTAGGCAAATGTGTCTGTCACTTGACCTGTGGCACCCTGTGCTCTGAGGGGACTGTCTAGCATCTGTTCTGTAATGTGACCATAACTCAGTTCTACTGGCAACAGAACAACAACATTAAAACAGCACTGAAGCTAGAGAAATGAAATGTGTTTACCAGTGGTTGGTGATCCCGTCAAATTAATTTAACCTCTCACTGTAGGAATCTGAACATATCTAATGTTTGCTTTCAGGATTTAAAGACTACTTTGGGAGCAGGATCTCTCCTCTTTGACCTGTGGAAGGGAGCCTTCACCGTATCTGTAAGTCAAACACTGGTACCCCTGGATGACAATGCTATGCAAAAGGCTGTTTTTCAAGCTATTCAAGACATGAAGAGAAGTGTCATCCTGTTGTTTGATGAAGAACCCTCAGTGAGGGAGGTTTCTCCTAAAGCACAGCTCATTCATAAGCTACAGGCTTCCTATTTGGCAGAGTCTCTCCCTTGGCATGCTGGAGGCTCAGCTGACGCATTTGCTAAGGATGGAGAGGAATAATGCCTGGATCCAAGGCTACAGAGTTAGTTTCTCTAAATTCACCGCCAAATCTATTTGCTGTCTGAGATAAAAGTAAAATGTATCTGAAGTCTCCTCTCAGTAGAAGATTCAGTGAAACAAAAACTGAAGAATATTCCTGAGACTGAAAGCTCAAAAGTCATGGCAGTACTAGGGAGTGTCAGTGGGGTTCAGTGGACAAGAGAGCAGGACTGAGATACCCTTATTGCCAGGAACCCTCATTCCCTCATTCTCAGGAACAGAAACTGGTCAGAGGTGCCAGTTTTGTACTATGATCTTCATATACAGCTCATGTGTGTAAGACTGTTAGAAAAAAAAGCAAAAAAAGATTAAAACAAGCAAAATAGAATGTCAACAGCCGGTAGTACCATCTGCAAAACAAAACAACAACTACAACCCCCCCCAAATATGTAATTTAAATTTTTTGAGGTTGATTTAATATTACATCTCTTCAGTAGGTGTTACTCTAGTGGGAGTGCATTGATTTCCCTGAAAGAAAGACCATCATGTGTCTTTGGTAATTTGTCTTTCTCTCCCAGCACAGCATCAGGTTATGACAGATGCAATTTGCACATTTAGCATGTGTGCTGGAATAAATGTTGCATTTCATTGTCCTGAGGAAAATCTACAACCTGTACCCAAGTAGAATGTTGCTTGCATGAGGATCTACAGAGTTTTTGACTGTCTGAAGGAGTGACAGAGAAATGTCATGGACAGTAGTTATAAATAAAGACAGAAATTTGCATGGTCATGGGTTGCAGGTCTCTGCTTTACAGGTGCTACATTAGCTTGCCCACCTGCAAACAGGGTTGCACTTCTGCTTGACATTACTGTAGGTTCATCCTTCACAGAGCCTAATTTAACTTTGAATGAGTTGCACATGGTTGTACACACGGACATGGTATTTAATACATATAGACATCTCTCCTTTGTAGGACTGAGTTCCTCCTTCCACATCTTGGCTTTATGCAAATGCAGATCATTACAGAAAAACCTCTTACGGTTTATGACCTTTTCCAATATCTTGAAATAGTGTATCTATTTTGAGTATAACAGATAATAATGCACAAATTGAAACAGGACCTCTTGGACTTCAGCTTTTCTCCAACACACTGTAGTTTCATAGCTGCACAAGCCTACCACGTATTGCTGGGGAAAGCCTGGGGCAAGTTTCACAATGTGAACTCTGGTTTATGTCTTCATCAAAGAAGAGTGCAGCAGGTAAGTGAACCAGAAATGCCACAAGGAGATGTCACAGGCAATTAAATAGTCCATTTTCTTGCTTGCATCCTGGTAGAGAAGACATGAATTTAAAATAGAAGTGATTTTTCAAGGTTTCTAACTTGATACATGCCTTGAGTAAAGTTTTGGTGATGAAAGAGCAAACACACAATGATATAATGTAAAGTGAAGCAGCACTGGATGTGGATGTTAAACAGGTCTGTCCACACAGGAGTAACAGGAATAGTTTCAATCTTAACATTTACACTGTACTTCATGCTGTCTCTTTTGCACAACTAAG